GCTTTTTATAGATTTCTAGCTTATATAACTATGACCATATACTTCAATGTTATTTCTATGTATGTCACGAGTGGTAAACTTTTCGCTTGAATGTTCCGCGGATATATTTTTGGGTCTCAGCTGTTTCATCAAAATATGCAACTTGACCGCATATTTTAATTCATTCCATGGGCCAATCTGAGACTAATTCTATAGATGGAAAACACAGAGCCGCGCCTTACATAGACGCAGTAATTTTGAATTAGCCCAAATAAATCCTTACTTTTGTACGACTATTCACTCACTCCATTTGAACTGAATACGTGAGCAAAATTATTGTCTTTAACCAAGATAGCCGTATTCAAGACTAGAATTACCAGAGATTGTTTATGTACGAAAATCGTGTTCAACGTTAGCAACTGTTGAGGTAGCTGTGAAATCACTAAGCTCTGCAATGATTCACAGCAGTTTTTCATCGTTTAATTGAGTCAGACGTGTATGACGACACATCACTCATCTCTCAGGATAAAACTGTAGACAACACTTCACTCAGCTGTTGGCATGAACAATGATCATCAGTATTCATTAGATGCAGTATTAGCAACACATTCTCATAAATACAAAATCAGGAACCTGGTGTCACGAAAACAGTTGCAGTGATTCGGTGTCGGCAATACAGTTAGTCACTGATGCAGTCAGGTAAGCTGTGTCGCTCATGCTGTGTTGGGAATAGAGTGCCGGTGATTTCGTTTCTGCAATGTACCATTTCTGACACAGTTTTCTTAATATATTGTCAGCTATGTACGCAATATAAAATTCACTGCCATTCTTTCAGTATCAGCGGCTACTTGAACGCTACGCAGGTTACTGAGCTCTGAAGCTTCACTGCAGAGTTCGAGGCTGTGGAACGCAAAACAGCTCTGCACGCCTGAGGTTTCTCGACCCTGCAGGATTACTGCGAGGTCGATGGCAGTAAGTGCATGTCTTGTGTTTCTTTTATGACGGCTGCTTTGAATCATTCATTATATTGCCCTGTTCTTATTGTTCTCTTGAATATAGTATAGAAATTTCGGCGTTGAAGAATTGGCCAAGTTTGGTCTGTTGCTGAAATTTATTATGCTCGTGACTTGTCTCCTCGAGATCTGAGAACTGGTCCTTTGACCAGATCTACCCAAAACTGACGTTGACGCTACGTAGCTGTTGAACATCCACCAATTTGTGAAGCGGGAGGCGTTTCTAGTCGAAACATATATAATTATACATTTGTCTGCATGGCAATGAACAAAAACAAAAAAAAAATGAACAAAAAAAAGTGAACTGTTAACTGTGATCGCAAACGAGAGTATAGACATTATTTGTATTACAGAAACACTTCCTAAAAATCACGGGGGGAAAATTGTACACGGTGGAAGTCTAGTAGCTTCTTCAAACTATCGCCAGTCATGAAAAGATCCGGTCAAATGACACGAGTTTAGATCTATGAACAAGGCACGAAATGGAAAAGAATCGGCGACAGGCCACATCAGGCCTACACTTCAGAGCCGACATCACTATGTTATGTTATGTTATGTTATGGCATTGTCAAGCCTGTTCTTGAACGCATTCGTACTCTGAGCGTCATATGCCATTTTCAAGTTTTTGGGAGTGTTTTATTCTCGTACTCAGTCGGCCTTTTAAGTCGATATTTTACCTTATAAAACAACTCCCATTTAAGCCTAATTTTATAATAAACTATTGAATTTCGTAATTATTTGAATTGCCGTTTTATTCCCCGTAGCTCTAAATTATCATTATGAAGGCTCTATTGAAAATCTCGACATACGAGGAATTCTGTCTGTGTAATTATGACTCATTAATTGATTGCAATTATTTGTGTTGAATTGCAAACTATTAACAGGAGCTTTCAGTTTGTTTTTGAACATGCAGAAGGAAGACCACAATTATATTTTTATTGATGCTACTAAAGTGGTCGATGACGGGATTGAATAATTGCGATTTTATATTTTTTATTTCTCTCAATAATCCAGCACTCTCGCCGACGTGGTATTTCTTATGTTTATGTTTTTAATATCCACGCGAAATACTAATAAAATTTAGATTTAATCTCAACACATTTTTATGCCGAAAAATAAAGACATTGGACATCTTACCTGAGGCTGGAGAATCCAGAAAACACGAATCATCATCATGTATCCTACGTTCCATGGTGGCCAACGATAAGAAAGTTTGAGTTTAATAAAAATCCATTAACACTAAGTGCACATGAATTTCTCTCCACGTCATACTCTGATGATTTCACATAGGCTTGTAAACATCGAACAACTGAAATTTAACGAGGAAAAATCCATTTGTTTCATTTTTTAAGGTTATTAGCGCATGTTCATACCTCACGAAGCAGTGCACTTGACCGAAGAATGTAATTATTTAGATCACTCTCGATCGAAGCTGGTTTGTCTAGCTCAAGCTCACAAATTCGGTTGATTTACCAAATTTCATTATTGCTGGTGCTGATGGCGGACGACGTGTAAAAATAAAATGTTTAAAATACGAGCTGAACTACTACGTTTGCGGTGGGAATGATTTGAAGTTTCTTGACTCCAATAAAATTTCATAAAGCATTAGCTCCTTGAAAATGGGTTTTCACGACTTCTTGATTGGATCACTTAACGGCAAAATTACTAGCTTCAACTTGACTCATTTTGCTTGACTCACTTAGGATCCAAGCCTGACGCTTCACAGCTAACGAGTGCCACGCGGCTTGTCAAGACTATGGCGTCTGAGAGCATGCGAACTGGAAGCCATACTATGTACTCTGTCATGGCTATGTCTAATAGCAGGTTATCGGTCAGAACATGCATTGCCCATTCGACAAATAGATTATTTTAGCGATATTAAATTTCAAGCCTTAGAATGAGTTTTATTTTTGAATTGTTATATGAATATGCGAAGTTTATTTTATTTTTGAACAAGGTTTCATCTCAGATTTGTTCTGTCAATCATTCAATAATTATAAAGGGCAAGAGACATTTTTCAGTAACCAAAAAAGTTTCAATATTGCTTTTTCTACTGGAAATTTTGAGCATACAAATTTTATAAGCGGTTGCGTCTGAGCAATAAGTTTGTACATGAGCCCCAATGAATTTTTATTATGATCACTGACGAAAAAGATCTGCTGATATAAATACGCCAGGGGATGATAAATTGATTTATGGTTATTTTTCAACAAAATTATTCCGGGCACATCTTATTGTTGCTCGAACATGTCCTCCGCAAAAATTTCCGCAATACCGTAACTCCGCGTTGTCATGGCAACGCCCAATGTAAACAATGGAATCTGAAGAGGAAGACGCATGCTGGGTTGCAGATGCCATTAAGACTATATCTATACTGTATACTGGCTGGAACAGTGGCTGCAGGCACACAGTGATTTTGGCTAATAGCTGTTGCTAATTGGTATGGCTTGTGGTGTTTCTAGCTTGGTCTCCAACTTTGTAGCTCCAAGTCAAACTGCCAAAGTAGCTGAGCATCTTTATACAGAGCTACAAGGCTTCTTTAAGAGTTAAATTTCTGACCGAAGGCTGTACACTTGTGAAATGACTAAAATTATTTCTGGATTTAAACAAGTAAGAGATTTATTTGCTCAGTATCAGGGTTTGGTATTCTTGTCTCCGATGCTCATTGTGGTAATTTATTTGATTTTGATGTAGAAAATGAGTAGAATTAGATCTTTAATTCAATAAAATAAAAAAATCAATTCAAATGCTTGAGAGTTAATGAGAAGATTGAAAACATGGGAATGTCTAAATTTTAAATTTTGAAGAGCCTACTCAATAGTTAGTACTCTGGACTTTGAGCCTGTAGAGTAGGTAGTTTAGTTTAGAGTACCTACTAAGGAGTAAAGACTACCTGAAGTACACTATGGCCTACCTAGCTAAAAATTTAATCCATTAATGAGATTGAAAAATTTTACTGAAACCTACAATCTATCAATTCCTAAAATATTTACCAAATTGTTTTGACATTTTTCAAGCAGTATCTTGTCATTAATCTTTTTACAGAAATTTTTAATTTGTGGCTCAGAGAAACTGAGTCACTGAGACGGTAGATGTTTTCTATACTATTTTAATTTTGAATATATAAGGGATAAGCCTTGTCTATGTCTAATAGAACAGTAGAACTGCAGGAAAGCTTGAAATAATTGATCTTGTTTTATTACAACTTGTATAAATGTTAAATTATATTCTTATAATGCACTAAGTAGTGCTTGTATGAAGTGATTGCATTAGTTTTGCAAAAACCAAACAAGATATCAGTCTTTATGTTAAACACAAAGAGCTTAGTTTTTGTAGCAAATTCAGCCTGAAAATATATTACCCTGTTACTGTATACTGTACTTGTAGGTACATGCAGTTTCTAGGAAGTAGGAAGAGAAAGCAGTTACTAAGGCCTACTACATTGATTTAAGAAGTTAGCATCTTTCAATAGAATTTCTTTCAATTGAATAGTGCTCTTTGTACTTATTGCTAATAGCTTGGTACCTAAAAGCTAATTCCCAAAGAATTGAGCTAATTTCATTGGCTGTGTCCATATATTGATTGACATTTATTTCTATCTCTTGGTTTTGAAATTGACTGAAATTTTTAATCAAAATTCAACTAACTTTCTCATGTAAAAATAATTGCTCATCACTAGGTACCATAAATTTTGACATATTATTCATCACCTACCAGAAATTTTGACATCTTATTCATCAGTAATGTGATTTTTACAACTCAATTAAATTATTTTCTTTTGGCTACCTAAATTTTTGAAAATTCTTTTGGTGGATATATTCATATTCTGTGATAAATCTGGCCCCATAAGAACTATCAATAGATAGCTGAAGGTCATTTCCAAATTGAAGTGTTATCAAGCCTAAATTTTGAAAACCTTACTTGCTCAGCATTTATTTTTAGAATGCTTGCCTTGAACTCCCTACTATGTTACTAATAATTGAATAATTATGTTCTTGAATGTCTCAGTATTAAGAAAGGCTTAAAAAGCCCTGAATTAAATACTTTTTCGGGGGACATTGTGTATTGTACAATGATATGTTTTGTTTGGTAATGGCAACAGTTAATGAAAATTGCCATCAAAATAATCATACGTAATTCAAAGTTGCAGTGTAAAAGATCTTGAGCGCTTTAAAGTTTTTCCTCATTCAAATTATTGAAGCCAGCATGCCACTGCGTTGGTTTGGTCGAAGTTTTTCACCAGGCAAGGGTCCTCCTCAACGCAGCAGCTCCCTCAGTGCTCTTAATAGAAGCCCTGCCCAGTTGCCTGCTACACTTGCTCAGGATTATAACAGGTATATGGAAATTACAGTCATTTAAACTGATGAAATTTTTAAGCTGTATTTCTCCCTTCATTTTTTCTTTGTTTTTCAAATTTGTGCACATTACAATCATACTACAAATATTTCCGTTGCAATTCACTCAAATTCTAAGTGCAAATTACTCTAATGTATTTAGGTATTTAGTTTGCGAGGCAAGAAATGAGCAACATACATATATATATATATATGTTCTAACACGTTGACTCTGATTGCTTCATATTGTACAATTATTAAATTTTTTGGTACTATTGTGGAACTATCACTGCGTCCTGGAGAAATACATTTCGTGGTACACATATGTACCACTTTGGAGTCACCATGTTAAGTATCCCATAGATTGCCAATACTATTGCGCAAGAATTTAGTTTGAGCAATCATTTCTGACATATGAAGGCGATATTGAGAATTGTGCAGTATACTGCACATTGCACAAGTTTCTCAAAATATCACCTCATGTGCACATTGCGCCTGAAATTGTAACATGCAAATAAATCACACACCTAATGTTGTGATTATTTTTGAGAATACGTTAGTAAGTTGTGATTGAGATCTATATTATTCGTTTCAAATTATGATAGAATGAAAATTTTCTTTGGGTCATGGTGCACTTGAGTAGAAACTTTTTCTCGATGTTGATTGCGCATCTGAATATGGTTTAACTCGTCTGGTGTGAAGCATCTCTGCATTGGAATTTTTTGCTTGAAATGACGCTTTCCAATCCCAATTTTTCAAATGATTGACAGCGCTATTACATTAAAAAGTTTTTTTATGGAATTATCTCCCGATTTGTCGCATTATGTGCGTACAATCCGTAGACTATTTTAAGCATAAGTTTGAAAGAACCCCTATGGGATTTTAATCTATTTGCGAATTTTCTACCGAAAGCTATACTGTGTGTCTCGAATCTATCGTTTGCCGTTTTTATCAGTTATTCTGTTCGAGCGATTGCCACGTATATAATTTGGACAGCCGAAATTTTGAATTTTTTCACCATTTTTTTCAACAGTACGCGCGATGAGTACTAATACAGCAAATAACGATTAATTAATTGTGGCATCTTGGTATTTTGCATTCAATTTGTCTTTAGAGTGACTTAAACGAACTGAAATCACACGAGTTCGGAACTTCAGCCGAAGACCACACAATACGGTATTGTATTAAATCTTGTATAATCCCATATGATTTTATTGTTCAATATGTTTGCATTAATTTAATTTACTTCATCATATGCTTTTATTATTCTACTCCAGAATAGACATGCGACTGTCCAAGGACCAGTTGGCAACTTTCGAGGACGGGACTTGGAGGTTGTCAGGTTCGTGAAGAGTTTTCAGCTCTTCATATCGCTTTTCTCTTGGTAAATCCCTAGAGTTTTGCATGATTGGCAAGATGGAGGCAATAATCAAACATTTACTGGGCATTATTCTCGCTCAAGTTTCCACGTTAAGAAGGAAATTCACAGTTTACTTACCATTGATGAACTGCATATTATCTGAAAAGCTGCTTATGTATGATTTCTGTAATTTTTAATTTATTTTAAAAGATCGATTGTGTAAGATTGTATACATAGGTCTTCAAATATATGTATAGATCCCAATGTGACCCAAAGCCCCGACGGGTTCCCAACCCTTTCTCCAACCATAAACAAACCCCAATCACATATAACCGACCGAATCATGCGTAATGCGCCTTTTCATCTCCTGCTGTCTTTCCCATTTCTCCTTCCTCTTTCCATGGCCACTCAGCGCCACCTCTTGTTTGTTCTCTTCCACTCTTTCCTAGTGGCACCGCAACAACAACAACGGGCTGATGACAAAAACAATCTAGCTTTCTATACCATAAGGAGCTTTTGCTGTCGTAATTGCCCATACTGGTAGTGACGACCAGGGAGAGGTGATAGGTCAGTTATTCAGAGCACTAAGGCCACACTACAACCATCGCTGGGCCGCTTACCAGCCATAACCATTTTGTTTGCATTACACAGCACACTGGACAAGCCAGGTATTCTTTATCAACCAGAATTAGATGAATAACTGAGTTGGCCATGAGCTAAACTCGTCACAACTTATTATTATTATATTGTGTTCATGTGTATTAATTGTTTAATAGCGGCCGCGCAAAGTTCATTAGCTTCTAAACGACATTTCGAGCGCCATTCTCCAGTTGCCGAAATTCTCAGCTGAAGCAAAAAATGAAAATAAGTCTTCTAATCACACCGAGTTTGTCCTGGAACAGATTAGCCACATTTGACATTTGATTTGCCCTTGCCAAGGATGATTTTTTCGAAATTGTGGTGAAAATTTTCGAATGCAGTGAAATTCATGTGTTGACTTAAATATCTTTTTAAAATAACATGAACTCAGTTCAACAATTTTTAAGGACCTTTTTGGGTCAAGTTTCATAAAATTTAATGCCATTTTTCAAAAATTGCCTCATTTTCTCACTTTAACAACTTGAAGTAGCATTCATATGAAATGATGAACTAAACGAATGATCGTAAAAAGAAGCAAAAATGGGCTGCTTCCTGGAAACAAAACCTATTCAGAAAACAAGCAATCAAACTAAGAACTAACCAAGTATACTCATTTAACAAGTCGAATCTGACATTTTAATTTTGTTCTTTAACAACTGTTCTAGTTTAATTATGTTCTTTAACGACGGTTCTCACTGAAGGCGTAACTGTTGTAACAGGACGAGGAGATGTCGCGGACCGGATCGTGCACCGCGCCGACCAGAAGCTACTCGACACCATAGAAAAACTCCAGGCAGAAAACAGAGAATTGAAACTGAAAACCGAGCTGCTTCTCGACATGGTAAGTCGTACGGAAAACTTTATTTCAGTTCAGGTATATGTTGCCAAGTGCAACGTTGGAACACTGCCTTGTTTTGACCTCTGAAATGCTCGCTGCCTAAGATTTTCCCAGCATTTTATGACCCTACAAATTCAGGATAAACAAAATTTTATCAACAATACTATGAATAGTACCGAATTTTTCCTAATATTCTCTGAGAATATCAGAGTATATATAATTTTCTAGATAAACTTGTGGATTAGAAATAATTGATGGTTCCTGTTTGTTTGGCGTGATCAAAGTGTGAACAAATTTGTAGCCTGTAATTATTCACTACGTACGTAATTTCAGCTGCGTTCTTGCTGTTCACTTGCTCTCAAGTAGGAAGTAATCTCAGGAATATATTTGCCTCTCAGCTAACAGAGAAATCTGCTGAGCATCAGATAGCGGAACAAGCTTTGAAGAAACTGCAGGCCAAGACCAGAAGTTAAGGAAGCGACGATGGGGAGCTCGACCCTCGTTGGGGTCCGCTGATTGGGGGCTTGACTCCCGATTACCCAATGGGTAGCTCGGCCCAGTATTGGCATGATGGCTATCTCGTCATCTATTTATTGGCATGATGGCTATCTCGCCATCTATTTATTGGCATGATGGCTATCTCGCCATCTATTTATTGGCATGATGGCTATCTTGCCATCTATTTATTGGCATGATGACTATCTCGCCATCTATTTATTGGCATGATGACTATCTCGCCATCTATTTATTGGCATGATGGCTATCTCACCATCTATTTATTGGCATGATGGATATCTCGCCATCTATTTATTGGTATGATGGCTATCTCGCCATCTATTTATTGGCATGATGACTATCTCGCCATCTGATTATTGACATGAAGGCTATCTCGCCATATTAGCATGATGGCTTTCTTGCCCCGCTTCAGCTCTCAATTCTCGAGACGTTTACACTTCGTATGATAGGTAAAAAGATCGAGCAATTTACAATGTTTTACTATTTATTCAATCTTGAATCGTAGGACGTCCGCAGTAAGTAACAAAGTTCACATGATATAACCCTTAACCACGAGTCTGTTCTAGAGCGCTAAATATAATACATCTTATTGTCGAGACAGAATCTAAGTAGAAGTGTACAACCAAATATTCATAGGTCGGAACTACAGAAGAATATGTTCAAGGACCATCGCTGGAAACTTCCATAAAGAGAAATAAATAGCTATCGTTTAGAGGTGCTAATGACAGTACAAGTAATCTAAAATTTTTTATCATTAGATTAACCGTTCCCTCACAAATAACTTCAACTTAGGCGTTTGAGATTAAAAAAGTGAACTACTTTTTCACATCCTATGAAAGTACAAAAGGTTAATCGTGTCGTCCATACACCAACATATTTACCTCTACGCAATTCAACAGGACGGCTCTCCCGCCAGTGAGCAAAAAATAGTAATATAAACTGCAACATTATTTCGTTTGATGAGACACTGCCAGATAATCCTAATGAAAATACGGTTTACAAGATATCGTTAAAGAACGACGAAAACTTCCAGTGTGACGAACGTCAGGCAGATGTGTCTGCACAAACAGGGGGCAACTAAACAGCGAAGAGCACATCCGTTGTACAGAGAAGAGGTTGACTGAGAGACTTGACTCAAATGTCACGGAGAGCATAAACTTCTATGTACAAACAATTCTAAGCAACTAATGACTTGACTGTTTTGGTCTAGATTTGCTACTCTAAGTAGTCAACATCTGCAGCTGTAAATAAATTAATCAACTGTACAACCATAAAGTAACAAGTCCTTTGCAATAAAGCGAAACTCTTGTTTTATGCATAGGCGCATACGTTTGAGAAAATATAAAACTGCAAGGAAAAGGAGGCAAAGTTAAGTTTGCCAACCGTTTGAATTTAGAACGAAACGAATACGTATAATGGACCGTCTCTATACACTGATGATAATCTCAACATTGTATTACCGAAGATATTAATCTAGTCACCGATATGAAAATAAACCAGCATGTCTGTTTTTTTACGACATTTGCCTTCAATGCAACGTGAATATCTTCACAATACCGGACAAGCTTTCTATAGCCGTGGAGGGAGCAGATAACAGCAAGGGTTACAAGCTAAAATAATACACATGCTCCGGTAACAGAGGAAACGGTGGCACGTATCTAGTAGATACTATACAGCAATATGTACACATGATTCATTGGAAGGATAGCTCATCACCCATGTCACAATGGAGGAAAGTTCACAAGTTCCACTACTTTGATTTTGGTCAGAGACTCATTATATTTTTTATTCATTGAATTAATCAAGGTTTCAAAGTTCAGGAAAAATTGAACTGTGAAGTCTAAGTGCTGTTCACCAATGACAATTACTGAACAACTGTGCGACAGGTCATGTTTTTGTCGTGTTATACGAGCCACTACATTGCACTTATATTCAATAAAGCGATTTAATTCAAAGAAGCGCCGGAATGATGTGAAGAAGCTCAAGGCAGCAACGCATTATTTCATACGTGAACAGACACTCGCGCAACGCAACTTAAGTAAGAAGGCACTAACATTTTTCTGGATCGGCAAGCAAAGCATGAAAGAAGCCCTTAATACAAGTTTAAGGCTAATTAGGCTATAATATTATCACTAATTACAAGAGGTTAGCAGAAAAATTTCGGGTCTCTAAGATATGTAAGCTATAACGTGGATAAACGGGAACGCTGCACTGTTCTCAATAGTATTCAAACAGGAACGGTTTGCAATAAAACTATGGCTCCAGTGTTGGTTTTGATTAGAATTCGATTTATTATGTAAATTTTGACTGATTGGCGTAATGTTAAGTGAATTCAACAGCAAGTACTTAGTTTCGCCAGAGATTCTGTAAAGGTGCTGCCGCTTATCGTCCAACAATGAAACATTGAATTTGTTCTGACGATTTGAGATCAATTCATCACTTTAAGATACAACTATGCAGCTAGTGAGCTCTAATTATGCTTAAGCGAGAGACGTATTCCGTCAACGTGTACACAATCTATTAGTCCTTGTGCTGAAGCCTTAACCACTCCTGATCCCTAAGCCACAACTTCAATATACATTATTGCAGAAGTTCGATCATTCGGTGATAGATAAGGTAGAAACACAGAGCGGCAAGACATCACAAAAGCATACAAATATCAGCTAATCTCAAGTCTCGATTCACTGGAACAGAAGCAAATAGTCCATTAACTGTATTTGTTCATGATCAAAGATCCATTAGAAGCAACAGAAGTAGGCACCAGCTAGGTTAAGAAAGGAGTTTGCCCAACACGCGCACACAGCAACAATAAAAAACATACAACTGACTTTGATGCGCCAGCTAAATATTGGTCACCACTAGTTTCCTCTATTATTCTCCGTTACTAGAATGTTAAAGAGACCCGCAACGATTACTGTGCAATATAGGTACTGTGTTGGACAAAGATTGACCTAACAATTTCCCCGTTTAAGGGAATTTTTTCTTCATTTTACCGGTTATGTGAACGTTACTTTGAGCAACCTTTATAAATGTTCTTTTTTCTTCATAAAGTATGCGTGTTTCCGGCTTAGAAATTGCTGATATATTGCAGAATAAATCGAAAAAAAAACATTGACGCATGTATAAAGAATAAATGAATTCACTTCTGTGAACTGCAAATAACGTCTACCTTCTGTAACAATTAAGAAAATATAGTACATAAAATTTCGTTACAGTAGAAAACACTAATTTTCTACAATATTCTAACTAGTAATCTACTCCTGAGAATTGAGCGGAGAACAATGATCGGGGAATCACACATGATAAGTAAAAGACGGCAAAGATGCTCGGAAATATTATTCAAAAGATCCTACTCACGCGAGCTCGGAGCAATCAGCCAGACAAAATCATTTCAAAATCGAGTAAGTCACTTCGATAATTAGGTCATTGGTTGACAGGTACTGACAATGTTGCCACAATGGCGATCAGTAAAAAAGTTCGGGATGAAAGTTGAGGACTCCCTGAGAAGTTGTGTACAGTTTAGAACAAGATTATCTTGGAAGTCACTTACAATGTTTTCTAGTCAACATGAATTCAGTCTCACGTAAACAAGTGTTAGATGATAGACAGTCTCATCATTCAGGATAAACACGAGTAATAAAAAATCAAACGCAATATTCTGTCATTTTCCAACGCAATGGCTCAACTCTTCCAATCTTTGGACTAGAACGGGCGGAACTTTTCCTCTATATTTTGTACAGGTTCACAGTAAATCAGTTTAGTACTGCAAGCCAAGGAATCTCGAAGTCTAGCAGTAATTTACTTGTGGAAAATGAACGTAAATCGTTATAGGTAATGACATCGAAAAGCGAACACAGCAGAGCTCGGACGGAGTATTGTAAGCAACAATGTAATGCAAAAAAAAACACACATAAAAGCAATCAGAGCTTGGCTGTGAAACTGTGTTAATATTGAATTTGTCGCATTAGCTTCCGCGAATTTCAATCTATCCCAGAAAACGTGGGTGAAAAGCAAAATGAGAAAAGAAAAAGAATCTGTATAGATAGCAGGAAATTAGACTTTTTTCAATAAGAATATATGAGAAAACACGCAATAGTAGATAGAGCGCTCGTAAACAATCGGTTTACCGCAGTCAAACCGATGATACTGCGTCCTGCGCCTGCTAAACTCTTGCATGGCTTATGCCGGTTATATTACAAACCAAAAGCGAGCAAGAAAAACTTTTGTATGATCAAAGTAATAACGTATTAAGTAGCGAAAATAAAACATTTAGTCCCGTTACATAGACAACAGTAAATAAATCAGTTGAAATTAATCCGAAAATATCTCAAACGTTGATATCGCGAACGTCCCTTTTCCAAACAGTTACACAGATAACATAAACTGATCTCATAATTTCTGGAACAAAAATAATAATATTACGAGGATATAATCTTTGAGAAAAAAAACATAGTCCCGGAAAAGAAATAAAGAAAGTGACTTGTGAAAGTGGTAATGAAACACAAAAGCAGGAGTGTAAAGAAGTATTAGATAATATAACCTCGAATAATCATATTCAAAATACAAGCAGCGCAGATAAGTTTATAAGCCACAAAGAAACAAACACGAAATTCGTGGATTCGGCAGCAGTCAGAAAATTGAGTGCGGCAATGCCCTCAATAAAAATAAATATTCAAGACATTCCGGAGGTGGTAAAGAGCTACAGTTAGTGAACACGAGGTGCCGATCTGTCGTCAATTTGTTTGGTTTGCCTAAGCTTTGCGCCTTTCCTGATTTGTTCCATTAAACCCTCGCGCAACTGATCGTTGACGGGAACGATAGAGACCCTGGCAGAGGCATCATCTAGAGCGACGCCAAAATGGTTACTATTAGGAGTAATAGCCGACTTAGGTTTGGACGAGGCCAGAGAAAGAACTGCAGTCTCTCGAGATTGGCCGTTGCTGGACGTATTACGACTGTTAGATATCAACTGACGGAACTTAAACTTATCACTTGACGATGATCCCGTACGTGACAACCGCGACATAGGTTGGGAGCTGCTGCTCAAGTTTGGCTGAGGAATCGACGACGCGCCTGCAGGTGAGTTCGTTCGCGAAGCTGTGCCCATGACAATTGAACGTTTGGGTTTATTAACTTTAGGGCCAGACTGAGAGGTTCGTAAGGGAGTCTTATTGGAGCCTATCAGGCGACTGGATGGGGAGGGAGTGGAGAGCTGGGTCTTGAGCTGAGGTTTTGGGACTGGAGAATTGGCTGCGTTAGCTCTGAGTTGTTGGCTCTTCTGGGGCGGTGACGGACGTTGCGATAAAGCAGAATTGAGCGTGGCTAAAAATGCTCGAGATTCCGGTTTTGTTATGAGAGGTTGGGCAGTTGCTGCGGGTGGCTGTTGCTGCAGTTGCTTAAAATGTTTCTCATGCAGTAATTGCTGCTGGTGCAGAAGATGTTGCTGCTGTTGTTGAAGCTGCTCCAGATGCTGGTCTTGCGATAAAGTGTGTGTGTTCGCGTTAGGACTGCTGTTAGGATGCATAACTTGAGTGTTATGATTAGGAGAATTTAAACAGAGCTGGCGCGATTCGGTTTGCTGCTGCAGGACTTGCTGCATCACCTCTTCTTGATGGAGTTTCATAGGTAAAGGCTGAGTGTACGGGTCGTACTGGCTGTTGGTCCTTGCTGCGTTGGATGCTTTGTTGTTCACAGATTCAGGTTGCGAATTCATTTTCGAGTTCAAAGTTGAAATAATTGAAGCACGAGCTGCATCCATCCGGTTGTTGTGTGACGCGTCGTTACTAGTACGGTTGTCAGGATTTGTAACTTCGTCAATTCTATTCGCTTCGTGAACTTCGGAATTGTTGCCCCGTGCAGTAGCTTGTGACACGACTTTTCTCGTAGCTCCTGGGCTGGGGGGCTGATGTTTGGTCTCCTGTAAGCTGCGTACCGCCTCGCTGACGCTTACACGTCGCTTCGAAAGCCCTTCGTCTTGTATGGGATCAGGAGGACCAAACAATGAGTAACCCTTCACCAGCTCCTGGGGTGACGTGTGAGGAGATGGAGAGGAGGTGGAGGAAAAGTTAACAGGAGGGCAGGGGGAAGGAGGACATGGCGAGGGAGGTGACGGGTGATCATCGTCAAGTAAAGGAGACAGTTGGTCTAATGAAGAAGGGGACGAATTTTGGCTTGTCTGACTTGAACTTGTATTGCCTCCCAAGTTCAGTTGAGTTGACGGTGCCCGCAGCTTATTTTGGTAGAGAGGAGCCAGCTGCTTCGCGACCTCCAAACATAACTCTTCAGGGGACAACGATGAGTTCGTCCCGTCCCCGCCTCCCGAGATCACAGGTAAGCCAGGGTTAGGAGGTACCGTCCCACTACCGACAAGTATGTCGTGGCCAGCGGGTGGAGGTTCGACATCTTCGCTACCATCACCAACGCTGTGTTTGCCTTCAGTAAAGCTCCTCGAAAAGTCGTCCTGCAACAGAAAATCTGGTGGAGGTGGGAAATTTTCCAAAGAGCCACGCGGTGTGTTAGTATCTCCATCACTGTCTGCCGCGCCGTCACCATTACAACGGACGGACGAAGGAGGCACGTCGGTAACAGGCGGTGCCAAGTCTGGAGAAACAGATGCATCACCATTCAGAGTCATGACGCTGCCACTGCACCCATTGTCTCCGCCGCTGAGTGTCATGACACTGCCATTGTTGCTGCTGCTGTTACTGTAGTCGTGATTCTGTAAACTGGGACCAGCGGCACCGTTCCCTAAACTTATTGAGGACGTGGAGCTGTGGAAGTTGTTTTGGAGGCTGCTGGTAGAGTTAGACGAATTATGTAGATGAGTTAAACTAGAAGATGATGGATTCTGTGGCAAGCTGGTTGATGAAGCAGCGTGACATAATTCAGCGGATGACAGATGTTGAGGTAAGCTCGAAGAAGAGGAAGAATGGATGAGACCAGCTGTAGGGGTATTTCTGAGACTAGATGATGAGAGCGTGTGCTGGAGAGGCGGAGGAGCAGCACTGGAGCGACCATTGCTTGGATCCTCAGTGCTACTTGTCGCAATAGGCGCCGAGTTCAGCGAAGAAGATGACGTGGAGATGGAGGCGGTGCGACGGATGGGAGGTGGAGGTTTACCATTCAGGGCTCGACGTAAAGACCCTGTACTACGAACGCCTGCGCAGATATGGGTTACTTCAAGCGATGCACATAAATTTCACTGTTACTTCATGTTTAAATGCAATGTATTGAAACTAAACCAAGCTCACGTACAAATGCGACGTATTAGAACTAATCGTATTTAAAGGGAATTTAAGCATAAAGAAATTAATAGCATTCTTGAAATGAAATGTTCTGTTTAGAGACCAGATTGTTTTAAAATTATCATCGATTTATCACCAGGTAAATCAAAGAAGAGCCTCAATTCATTCTAAAAAAATTCTGCTATCTAATTTTTTGATAAATTATTCAATAAATGAAACACCGATTCTAGAACAACCCTATAATATAATTTAGAATTGACCGCAGTCATGGTAGGTATAGTACGTATATCGTTGTCATGCGTTAAGAAGAACTGCATCTCAATATGCACTAACTCACCTGATCATGCAAAACGTCATGCAACGATCCACTCCACGAGGGCGTGCATAATCGAAACATAATAAAAGTGATGCAGAAAAGAGATATTCTCGAGATCTGAAAGTCCAACGCTAGTACCAAGATGTCATTCTGTTAAGGATGCTAAAATGTGTGGGACAAACTTGGTGCCAAACTGAAGTCATGCATCATCTCATTCGTGATGATAGAAAACGTGCACATTAAAGACCAGAACTCACTTTTGCATGTTCAATTTAATGGTGAAAAAAGAAAGTAAAGAATTGCGTAGTGCAGAAAGGAACACAAAGAAAAAGATAAGCTATAAATGCAACGTGAAGAAGAAGAGACGAGATTCAAGAGTTACTATTTGACAAATGAAGACCGCAGGTCGCTGTGATGAAGTGCATTGTTAGGGGGGATGAGAACTGTTGAGTGTTAGTATGGACGAGGTAAGCTGGCATGTCAAGAGCTACGTGAATTTGAAAAAAATGGAAGATATTTATATTGAATTTGATAACGGGTGAGAAAATTTAAAACCAAGAACCAACAATGTTAAAAAATGTTAGTGGCACGCAACAAAGCCAGCGATGTTAGGTTCTAAACGATTTCAGTTAATGCAAAATTGCAAGGCATAACATGCAATTTAAAAAGCCTTAACATTTTCACGCATGGTAAATAATGTTTTAGTGAAAGCGATTGAACACATTACATTAATTATAATTTTGACGCATAATAAAACAATTAAGAGCACCACCACGACATGCTCGTCCATAATTGTACAAAGTGCATGTGTAATATGTTACGACGAAACCAAATCCAGATCAAACTCCAGCCCAAGTGTAGTTAGTCGAGTTGCACGAACAGAGAAAATGAAGACTTGACACGAGTTATTGTGCACGTGCTACAACCTCCGCGGCGGATAAGTCGTGTTCCACACCGTACCTTGAGACGCTCTCCTTAGTTCCACTCCTGGGAAACTCTGCCCATCGACGCCAGGCAGTTTCGCTGCCTCAGGGGGCGCGGGGTGCGCAGGGTGCTGACGCTGTTGCTGCAGCAGCAACTCGTGCTGATGAGCCTGTAGCTGTTGCTGCATTTCATACGACATCGAGGGCATTGACAAGCGTCCAGAACGATATTGCGATGAATGTTGTACTTGATGTTGAGGGTAATAATGTTGCTGTTGCTGGTGTTCAGTTTGTTGCTGCTGTTGATGCTGATAGTACTGTTGATAATAATGCTGTTGTTGCTGTTGTACTTGGTAAGCAGAGAGCGAGTGGGGGATGAGGCTCCTGTGAGCGCCGTCTGTTGGGGTGCTGGGCGCAGTGAGGGACCCACGTAAGGGCATGTGACTCCTGCCGAAGTGGCTGCAGTCCTCAGCCAAGTCTTCGCCGCGGTGCTCTAAGATTGTGGACACGGGCGTCCTTAGTCTGTATCCATCCGCGTTGACGGAATGTCGGAGGTGCAGGTGAGTTGGCACTTCAGGAACAACTGGCACGTAGCGAGAACAGTGGGATGCAGAGGGAGGAGGACATTCTAAACAAAAAGAAAATACAAAACTAAAAAACTGGGAATTTGGAACTCGGGCATTTAGCTCCGAGTTTGCTCGTAGATGAAAAGTAAATATGAACAATGACAAAGACTAGTTAACTAAGTAACACAAAATAGGGTCGGGGTTTTGAATTGAAGGGTTTGTGTAAAAAAATATTCGGATTCATCATGCTCACGAACATACAGAACATTTCCGAGATAAATACACTGAAAAAGAAAATTGTCTATCTGGGGTATAATTATGAGAAAATTCAGGGATGCAGCCAATGACTACTTAAGATCGTTGATGACACTGAAACTTTACTGCCTCGGTTTGCCATGAAAATGGCACTCGATTTTCGATAACATATTTGAACTGAAAATATCGTTTTCAAAAGGCTTTAGCTGAAGACTTCGAGAAATAAGAAGTAATTCTTTATTTCCGCTATTTCCGTGAGAGCAGAATTTTTTATTTATTTTTATCTGAGCAAAATAATTGTCTGTGTAATTTCAGTGGCAACAACGACTCCACGAACTAAGTAGCAACGCTGGCGACTAAGATGCCTAGCAAGAGATCGCTGAAAGCACCTAAAAATTATCACCTAAGTAAAAAGAACCACATTTGAAAAAGATCTTTATGCATTAACAAATAATTGATACCAGGTTCTCATTTTTTGACAAAAGTACGATCTTACATGCAAAATAAGTCAGGATGTTTTACTTATAAAAAATTACATCTTTAAAAAATTACTTAATTCTACTTCAATTCAAATTATTGTAACATTTGAACAAAATCAAGAGATCGCCTGATGGCCGATATTACACTTAACTGGCCAAGCCTTCAACTGGGATGAAGGCGTAGTGGCCATTTGCTTCTGAATTATGTTCCATAATGAAATCTTGAACGCTGGCAAGATATAGACTTATACTTTACGGGATGAACATCGAATTATGCGTCCATGCGTCCTAGAAGCCTAACACTAGGCGGTGTAGATCTAGAATGATCTAGATTCTAGAGGTATATTTATGCCATTCCTGCGTTCACAGAAATCATCTAGAGAGCACAGGAATGTTTTAACGTGCACAGGAATATCATAGCACATATGAGATACAAAAATTAAAGAAATGTTTACGGGATGAAGGTAAGTTTGAAGGGATGTTTCAGGGATGAAGTGAAGTCAACACCCACCTTCTAGAGTCGGCAGGTCATCGTTGGTGCGGACGTTGGGCTGAGAGCCGTAGCCACTAGACCCCAGAGAGCCGTGGGGGGAGTTTTCCCCCTCAATACAGTCACCCCCGCCATTCCCCAACTCCGACATGTTGCTGTAGACCGGCTGAGGCACGACTGTAGGAACAAACATAGTTAATTAAACAGATCAAACTTCAGACACAAAAATAAATAATGTTGTAGCAACGATAATCTGTACCACTCATGAAAAATTTTACGCATGTTAAAACTTTAAAAAGAAATCATAAATAATACTAGATTTACTCGGCTAATGAGGTCAAAATTTAATTTTCTGTTCCAAAATTCTGTTCTGTTCCACAAGCGAAGGTAGTAATTAGGTAACATTACATGATAAATTATCATATAAAAATTGAGCTGAGAAAATTAAAAATATTTCATAGGCGATATTAAGTTAAAAAGCTCAAAGATTGCAAAGGATGTAATTAAAGGCGTCAAGACATCGAGGCGCTCACTCATGTCGGGCGGCGCCTTGTTGAAGTCCGGCACCGACGGGGGCTCCAGAGGCTCGCTAGAGCCCTCCTGTCCGCTGCTCTTGTTCTGCGGCACAACAAAAATTAACGTGGAACCTAACGTTAAGTAAAAAGATCTTCTAGAAACTATTCATTTTGAAACAAATTCTAAAAGTTACTAGTACCTCTGCAGATACGAATCTGCGACACGTGAATTCCAGAACTAATTAATTTTAACTGATGAACTTATAGTAATGAGCACATCAGTAGTTTAAAAACTGTGGCACATGGAAATAACGGAAATGAAATAGCCGTACATGTGATGAGTGCACTAGTCTCGCACGTAGCTTGACCAAATTGAGTGCAGAAGCTGCAACATTACTGCTTTTGAGTCGCCATACAAATATTATTATTATTATTATAAACGACTTGGACGTTATGATAGTAAGCCAGAGGTGCAGGAGGTGGCGCAGAGATTAAAATTTCATTATTGTACAATTATTAACGGCCACATTGTACATGTAACATTGTTGGCCACATTGTATTGTTCAACGGCCACATGGCATCGCTGACCTGGTGGTGGTGATGAAGAAGATGGTGCAGAGGGAGACGTTGCCTGAAGCTGCTGCTGCTGCTGCTGGAGGGCTTCTTCTCGGGCAGCGCCGGACGTTCCAGCGACGAGCAGCGACTCGGCAGCGGAGGTTTGCTGCGCACGCCACTCGCGCAGCTCGACTGAAATAAAATTGACAATAACACACGGCACAAGAACACATTATAATAGGGCCCAATAACACACGGCACAATTACACAAGACACATTATAATAGGGCCCAATAACACACGGCACAAGAACACAAGACACATTATAATAGGGCCCAATAACACACGGCACAATTACACAAGACACATTATAATAGGGCCCAATAACACACGGCACAATTACACAGGTTACATTATAATAGGGCCCAATAACATGCAGCACAATAACATATAAAAAATTATAACAAGGCCTAATAACATACAGCACAACATATTATTACAGATAACAAGGACGGAATGTTACAAATGACACAAGACACAATAAGACAAAGTACACTATGGGTTCAGCTAGCAATTGATTTATATCAATGTCTGTATATTGGTACATGCAAATCCTAGTCACACGGTGTAATAAATCATGTGACAATGGTAGGAACCGATGGTCTTGGTGATTTTTTAGTTTTTAGAACCTTCATGACCTAATTTCAAGATGAAGAATTTGAAGTTATTTTAAAAACAAAAGGCTGACGAATTGCTCAATTGTTGATGTGAACAAACTTATTTACAAAGTATAAAAGCGCTCATTTGGGCAGAGCCTTGGGCTGAACAAAGAGATATTTCTTCGTATCAAGTCTGCATCAAGTCTCAGACAAATTGAGACTGGTGCATGATAAGAATCGGGTTGACGTGAAAACCTGCATGGCACCTGCAAGCAAGCTTATAGGCGCCTGTGAAGACTGTATGGCATACACGTTACCTATAAGCACCTCTTCAAATGAGTTCAAGTATAAGCACCAGTAAGGCACCTATGAGCACCAGTACAGCACCTATAAGCACCAGTACAGTACCTGTAAGTACCAGTACGTACGACAACAATTAGCACCAGTAAGGCATATGTACGCAAAAGTAAGGCACCTAAGCACCAGTAAGGCACCTAAAAGCACCACTAAGGCACCAATTAGCACCAGTAAGGCACCTATAAGCACCACTAAGGCACCTATAAGCACCAGTAGGGCACCTATAAGCACCAGTAAAGCACCTATGAGCACCAGTAAGGCACCTATTAGCACCAGTAAGGCACCTATAAGCACCACTAAGGCACCTATAAGCACCAGTAAGGCACCTATAAGCACCAGTAAGGCACCTATAAGCACCACTAAGGCGCCAATTAGCACCACTAAGGCACCTATAAGCACCAGTAAAACACCTATAAGCACCAGTAAAACACCTATAAGCACCAGTAAGGCACCAATAAGCACCAGTAAGGCACCATAAGTACCAGTAAGGCACCTATAAGCACCAGTAAGGCACCTATAAGCACCAGTAAGGCACCTATTAGCACCACTAAGGCACCTATAAGCACCAGTAAGGCACCAATTAGCACCAGTAGGGCACCTGACTGTTGATGCTCTCTTGGCTGTTGGAGTTGGAGTGATGGAAGTGGAGGAGGGACGAGCGAGACGACCTCCTGCTGATGGTGGCTGTGTGCTGCTGTGCCTGCTGACTGTTGCTGCTGCTGCTGACACCAGCGCTCACTGGACTTCTGTCTCCATTATTGTTGCCCCCATCAAGACCATCAACAGCCCCCACGTGTCCCCGGATGCCCCCCGTAGTCGACGGGTTTGGCAGGGTGAAGGTGTTGGGACCCAGGGCTGGACGCTCCCTTACGTGTGACTTCTCGTAAGCTGCACAGAGAATCTCTTAATCAATTCTTAAGCTCTTCTTAATTAATAAATCTAAATTATGGCCTAAAGATTAGAAAAATATACGCAATCAAACAACACAGCAATTATTACATACTGGTAAGTTATTGCTATGTTATTAACTTATTACTTAGTAACAACTATGTCAGTTGACTGTTACTGAGTACTAATCACGTGAAATGTAATAAATTAATTTTACAGAAACGCGCTGACAATTTTACCTGGCAAATAGCTCACCAGATGTCCGCAAATAATAAAAAATAGTCGACCCTTTCATTAACAAATCTCCATAGCATAAAAACAAATCCACTAGGTAATTCGTAGACAGTAGATTACGCGAGTTCGTCAGTAAACCTCGCCTAAATCGCAATTAAGTGAGGGTAAACATATTGAAATATACCCCTGAACAACGGGACAGTAAACCTCGCCTATTTCGCAATCAAGTGAGGTTAAACATATTGAAATATACCCCTGGACAACGGGACAGTAAACCTCGCCTATTTCGCAATCAAATGAGAGTAAACATATTGAAGTCCACCCCTGGACAACGGGACAGTAAACCTGGCCTATTTCGCAATCAAGTGAGGTTAAACATATTGAAATATACCCCTGGACANTCATAACTAAGATACAGAATAGTATGATGATCATAAAAACTAAGATACAGAATAGTATGATGATCATAACTAAGATACAGAATAGTATGATGATCATAACTAAGATACAGAATAGTATGATGATCATAATAACTAAGATAGGTACAGAATAGTATGATGATCATGATAACTAAGATAGGTACAGAATAGTATGATGATCATAATAAATAATTGCAGAACAAAAGCGGCAGATTAAAATATCAATTATTCAGTAAAAAATGATCTCAAATTCTCAACATGTGCCCGTAACACGCATTATTTGAAGAAAACTAGAACTTGTTAGCTTATTTGATAATGAATTAATGATTGAGCTTCTTTGACAATGATTTGTTAGAGAGGGCACGTAGCTTGAAAAGGATTCATTTACATTTATTAGGCAAGTATCAATTTTAATTTATCACATATTGATTTATTTTCATTTATTAGGCAATAATTAATTGTAATCAATGATATTTAAGAGGAGACTCGTAGCTTCTTACCAGCGAGGTGGTGGTGCTTGGGTGGGGGCGCATGTACCCCGTCGGTGGGGGGGGAGGACAGGTCCGTGGGGGCGGGGTGGGGAGGGAGGCTGGCTGGTCCGTCATTGCTGCTCAGGCTGGACGGCTGAGATAGGCTCGAGATATCTGACACCCGCGAGGCCTGTACATCACAAAAATTTTAATATTAAAAAGGAAAAATATTAAGCAATCCAGTAGGCAAAAATTAAAATAATGAAGTAAGTAGAAATAAAGTAAATGAAAACGAAATATAAGTAAGCAAAAATTAAGTAATCAGGGGAGTAACATTTGAGTAATCAAGTAAGCAAAAATTAAGAAGCCAAGAAGCGCATATTGAGTATATTATGAAACTTTTTTCTGGCGATTCCTTGTCTTCAGTTCCGTTTCAATCGGTCAAAGATGTAGTATATCTTTTCAAGTCAATTTGATATATTGCTTATCTTAAAAGAGCGACTATCTCGAGTGCTGAAGGCATGCATAAACGCATATTCAATTCAATTTGTCCTCGTTACATTTATTTCGAGTAAGATTACTCCATACTTCTTTCATGACAAAGCTACTTTGCCATAGCTCTCTCTTACCTGTTCTCAGATCTGTCAGAAACTTGAGATAACCTAAGCTTTTGTTCCTAACAACATTTTGGCATCTTACCCTTTGGACCTGTACGCAAAAGATACATTATGTGAAGCTTTGCGTCCTGTAGACATAAAAGACTCGAGTTTCGAGCTCAATAAAGCTCATTGAGTTGAAGAATCTGAACCTAAGTACTGATAGGTTCAAATCCCCGCGCGAGACAGCGAAATCAATCTGCGAAATGAGGTCTGACAATAAGGGGTATCTGAAGTAGATTCTAAGTGCCCTGAAGGGGGTCTAGTAGTAAGTGAAGGGGGTCTGCCAGTAACTGCAGGGAAGTCTTGCAGTGCCTGAAGGGGGCCTGGCATTAAGTAATTTGTGGTCTTGCAGTACCTGGAGGGGGTCTGGCAGCACCTGAAGGGGGTCTGACAGTTACTGCAAGGGGGTCTTGCAGTACCTGTAGGGGGTCTTGCAGTACCTGTAGGGAGGTGAGACGGTACCTGAAGGGCAGTAGCGAGGGAAGAACCCGAGATGGTGTGGCGGTGAAGAGCGTCTTGTGAAGTGAAGCCAGAGTCTTGAGAGCGAACGCTCACCAGACCACCGCTCTACACAACCATACACAACATCAACACAGGTGCGTACAACATCAACAAAGGTGGGTATAACTTCAAAACACGTGGGTACAACATCAACTAGGAATCACAGGTGGGCACAAAATAAATAAAAGTAGAGGTGGGCATAAAATTACTCAAGCCTGGATATATATGCATTTGCAAGAACATGCAAGAATGTGATAAGAACAGCTAAACATCAACCAAGTGACGTGCCTAAAAGATTTGGTGCAACAAATAAAAAAGGACAAAATTTAATCAAAATAATTTGGTACGAAACAAATACGAGTGCCGAATGAACTCAACCAGGCTTTCATGTCAAAAGTACACGAGAATTGAAATTATCAGGCATTTCTGAATAATAAATGCTTGAGTGCATTTATTTTGCAACTCAAGTTGACTAACTGTGTAACTAACTCTGTGAACCAAAATAAAAAGTAAGCAAGCAACATTTATGAAAACACAAAATTCTAAATGATGTCACTAAAACACAAACAAAAATAATAAAATAAATTGGTGGAGATAATTAAAAATGGACCAGTATATACAGAGGATAGACAAAATAAGGGAAACACTTGAGCAATCCTCAAAATATATTATACTTTCTGATTTAGCTCAACTTTTTGCGGCAATTACAGCCTCAATTCTCCGAGGTATTGATTCATACAATTTGTGAATTGTATTCGAAGGGATTTCAATCCATTCTTCCGATGAAATTCCCTCCAGCTCTTTTAAAGACTATGGCGGCAGGAATTGACTTCTGACTTGTATCTCCAAAATCAAAGATATATGCTCGATAATATTCAGGTTTTGTGATTGTGTTGGCCAAATGAGATGCTCAACTTCATTAAATTGTTCCTCGAGCCATTTTTTAACAATTCCAGCTGTATGGACCGGGGCATTATCATCTTGAAAGATGGCGTTCCCCTCCGTAAACAGAGCTTGAACCGTTGAATGAACTTGGTCCTCCAAAATTCCTAAATATTCACGGCTGTTGATTCTTCCGTAAAGAGAAATCATTGGCCCGCCGGATTTCCAAGAAATAGTACCCAGATTATTACAGATCCCTCGCCAGTTTTACGGTTGAGAGGAGGCAGTCGGGATTAAATGACTCCTTTGGCTGTCTCCGAGCGTAAACAAGCTTTTAAAGCTTGTTTACGGGTTGTGTTGTTTTAAGCTTTTAAACTATTTTCCTTCCTAGAACACATCAGTTCCTAATAAATGAAAAAAAAAATATTGAAAATAACATAAGCAAAACATATATTCGACATGTAATATAAACATAAGCGAACAAAAAATAACGATCATCTAAAGGCAAATTGTTTACTTGAAGGCATTCGTGCGAGTTGCGACAGACATCAATTGTGCAATACACTTACCATTCTCAGAGATCAGAAGCTGTCGGCCTAAATCTTGCTACCGTACACCTAAATTATTCATACGACAACATAAAAGTGAAGCTACAAATCAAGAACCTATCATAAACTGACTAGCGGCATTAAGTGATAATCAAAAACTTCATTTTCCCACCAGAATTTCGAGAGGGATTGGGATGCATATAAACAATTATTGTGCTGGGGGATGTATATAAACTTATGTAAAGAAACAATTAATTTTTCACTCGCTTCTTTTTACTAAACTTGACAAAGAAGCGCAAAAGCATGACGGACTTAGGTGATCTCACGTCAGCATTTGACGGGCGATAATTGAAAAAACAAATAACCAACAGCAAAAGCTTGACGAACTTTGGTTATCTCAAGTCAGCATTTGACGGGCGATAATTGAAAAACAATAACTAATAAATAAAATAATAATAACCAGTAAATAATTACCTGCAAAAAATAATTAAATAATTGCAAGCTGACCTGACTCGCTGAGCGACTGCGGCCGTGGTGAGACGGAGACCCCCCGAGACCGAGCAGACCTCCGGCGTGAGGGAGGTGAGAGGCGGCGGCGCTGGAGGTGATGGAGGTGAGGGAGGAGCGATGGGACCCAGACAGTGATGAGGGAGATGATGGCGGCGTCTGCCACGACACGCCTGCCTCAGATGACGCGTCTTTGGCACCCAGCAGCAGCTGCACGCACAAATATGCCTTTGACGCAAACAATTCATTCACTGCGATAAGAGAAAACACAACCTAATCAAGAGTTACATATCAAGAAAGTTCGACCCATAAGTTAGGAAGGAAAAAACTGTGCTTAATATTAATCAATTAATCAAACTAATCAATTGAGCTTAATTTAGTGACAATCCTTCACTAAAGCCTAACTCTTAAATTTCACGACTAGTTCACTGATTTCCCAATACCTACGTTAACGGTTAAGTAAACTGATCTTCAAATGACAATGCTGATGATGCATTTAGTGTAACGGCGCATTTTATTTAAACCCATGGTTTTAAACCATGAAAAATCCTTATATAATGGTTTTTAAATGGTTTAATGCATTTAACGAGTTTAAAGTATAGACTGTGTTACAGCTCTGATATTGGAGTCAGAGTGACACTGCATCACGCATCAGCGGCCTAACTGAAAAACCCCCAATTTGTCATAATATTGCACTGCAACACAGTTGATGCACAATATCACACAACATATAGACTAATAACAGTGAAGCCTGCGTTAAAAGTCTCAAAAAAAGTCTCACCTGTTCCGACGTCGGGGGCAAGACGCCGCGGTCGTCGACGTGTTTCTTGAGCTGCTGCAGCACGTCCTGCACCTGCGTCAGCACCCCCACCAGGCCCACCTCCTCCCGCTGGTGCATACATGATAGTGAAGAATACATTAGAATTAAATTGATGTAGGTACTTACTTAATAACTCAAGGAAATGAGAGTAAAACCGAATTTAGGAACTTTCATATTAAAAAAAAATAATTCTTATTACCACAATTCATGTACATATAATATTTGGGTGGAATTTGTTCTTCAAGTATCAAAAAATTATGAAATGAAGCGTTTAGGGAGCGCATGTGCAAGTACACCAGCAGCAGCACTCCACACAGCACCCTGGGCACCCTCCAGCAGCACCCTGGGCACCCTCCAGCAGCACCCTGGGCACCCTCCAGCAGCACCCTGGGAACCCTCCAGCAGCACCACCCTGGGCACCCTCCAGCACCCTGGGCACCCTCCAGCAGCACCCTGGGCACCCTCCAGCAGCACTCTGGGCACCCTCCAGCACCCTGGGCACCCTCCAGCAGCACCCTGGGCACCCTCCAGCACCCACCAGGACGGGCGTGATGGCAGCGGCCAAGAGGCAGTAGCGGCCCCGCTCCTCCAGCAGGACGCGCTTGAGGGCCGCGCGCTCTGCGTTCCTGAGGGCCGTGAAGCCCGACACGACCTCCTCCACCCCCGCCGCCAGGATCTGCGGCAACCGGCAGTGAGAATCTTCTAATATAATCTTAGGATCTTCTAATATAACATTAGGATTCTCTAATATAACCTCAGGACCATATAACATATCCCTATGATCATCTAACATAATCTTAGGATATTCTAACATAACCTAGGATATTCTAACATAACACTATTATCTTCAAACATATCCTAATGATCATCTAACATAATCCTACGGTCATCGAACATAATCCATCCATCCCTCTGATCATCTAACATAACCCTATTATCTTCTACCATAATTACCTTACAACAACAACATAACACTACATCCTAAAGGCCCACCGCCATGTTCCCACACACCGCCACCGGTGTTTGGAGACGCTAATTTTCCTATACAATTAATTATTAAGGAAATAACACGTCACCAGGACATCAAAAAATGCAAATTCTAGTCCTTTAAAGGGGCAGTTAGTGGGCACTCACTTTGTTTGTCTGAGGTTTGTTGGACTTCTTGGCCTTCTTGTGCAGACGGCTGACCATGTCCGTCTTCTTCTTGAGCTCCGACCTCACCTTCTTGTACTCTGCAACACAATAAAAATATTAATATAATATAATATAATAATAATAATACATTTCTTATATATATATGTATTTATATAATAATATATAAATAATTTATTATGTAAGCCTAAAGATGCATTGCAACTCATTAGAGATATACGTAGATAGAATGCATACACAATGAATATTGTGTGAACCAAAGTGCAACATTGTTGGTTCAAATGTGGTACCTTTAGTGTGGTCACGGTCCAGCACGGCTGTAGTACCTTTAGTGTGGTCACGGTCCAGCACGGCTGTGGTACCTTTAGTGTGGTCACGGTCCAGCACGGCTGTGCTACCTTTAGTGTGGTCACGGTCCAGCACGGCTGTGGTACCTTTAGTGTGGTCACGGTCCAGCACGGCTGTAGTCTTCTTCCAGTCGTCCAGCCGTGCCTGTAGAGGCTGGACCGTTGAGTCCAGGAGGCAGGCAGTGAGGGCCCAGACGCGCGCCATGAGCTCCTTGTGCCGCATGCAGAGCCGCGTCAGCGTCGCGCCGACGTCGCTGCTGGCGCCTGTAACACAAGTAAACAAGAACTTTAATCATCAATAACAGCATAACTGTCCTAAACAGCATAACTGTTATTGATAACAGTTATGCTGCTATTGATAACTTAGGATAACAGTTAATAACAGCAAAACTCCCATTAGATCTGTACACGTCGCTCTTAGCGCCTGTAACACCACAAAACCAGATCAGCCGCTAAACTTTTTTTTTACTTTTTTTTTCTTTTTCTCTCTTCTTCTTCTTGCCACACATTTCCTACGACACACAGCAATCCCCCAATTGTGGCCTTTTCCTGTGTGTATCATTAGTGTTACTATCTTACAAAACAATCTTACATTAGTAACAAATTACATTAGTCAAAACAATCTTACATTAGTAACAATCAAAACAATCTTAAATTAGTTTTACCTAGCCAAAAAACCCTAACCTAACCGAACTGAACACAGCCTAACATATCCTAACCTAACCGAACTGAACACAGCCTAACATATCCTAACCTAACCTATCCTAACCTAATCCTACCTCACCTAACCCTACTTCACCTAACCTTACCTTGCCTAACCTTACATAACCCAACAAGAACTAACCTAACTTAACCTATCCTAACCTTTCCTAACCTAACCTGAACTAACTTTGCCTTACCCTAATCAACCCTAACCTAACCACCCTATGTGATTGTCGCCATAGGAACTTGTTCCTGGCTTGAACCTAACCTCAGCAAATGACGTATAATAGCAGAAGTACCATTAGTTCTGTACACGGTGCTGCAAGCGCCTGTAACACCACAAGAAAAACTTTACTCATCAATAACAGCATAACGCATGTTCTAGTTCATCATTTAATGAGATGCAATCAGTTCTGTACACGTTGCTGCTAGTCCCTGTAAAACAACACAATAGGAACTTCACTCATCCTGAACTCTAGTTCCTAGTTCTAGTTCATCATTTAGAGAAAGGCTATCAGTTCTGCCAACGTTGTCTCTGCTCGCCTGCAGTGCAGACAGTCAGACACTAGGATTAGTACTTAACTTATCAAGACCAGTACGAACATACAAACATATTTGGACGGTAGAATTAGCTAGCTTAAACTAAAGAAATTAAAATTTAAATCGATGGATCCTATGGTCATTATTCGTCCTAGTAACAAGATAGGTACGTATGAATGATGCTTTGGTGTCAATTTTTGGAGACCCACTTGGTTCAAGCGTAACGTAGAGCGAATTGTTTAATACATGAATACACAAGTAACACAACATATACCATAAAAGAATTAATCATCATGTAATAAAACTCGTCCAGATACGCTTGCACTGCTCGTGCCTGGTATAGGTTTCAATATCATGGACTTTTTAATATTATTAATAATAAAGTAATAACAGATTCTCTAGCCTAATAACTAGTGATAGAACATCTGTCTATTAAGTTGATGTGTAGCGTCTCATTGCTCCATTAAAATGCACCGGTATAAATTCTTTGTAACTTAAGCATGGCGCTGCTGGTCAAGACAACTCAGCTGCTAGAATCAGCCGGGAGTTAACGTATCTGCTGATCGATTTAATCTAAAATTTAGAACAACATGGAACTATAAATAACTTTGAACCGAATGTAAACCACATTAAAAGGCGAGAAAGACATCGAACCAAAGCACGAGCACGTCACCACGTCTCAGCACGACTTTAAGGCACGGGAGACCCTGACTTTAAGGCACGGGAGGCCCTGACTTTAAGGCACGGGAGGCCCTGACTTTAAGGCACGGGAGGCCCTGACTTTAAGGCACGGGAGGCCCTGACTTTAAGGCACGCGAGGCCCTGACTCTACGGCACGGGAGGCCCTGACTTTAAGGTACGCGAGGCCCAGACTTTAAGGTACGCGAGGCCCTGACTTTAAGGCACGCGAGGCCCTGACTTTAATGCACAGGTGGCCCAGACTTTAAAGCACGCGAGGCCCTGACTCTACGGCACGGGAGGCCCTGACTTTGAGGCACGAGAGGCCCTGACTTCAAGGCACGGGAGGCCCTGACTTTAAGGCAAGAGAGGCCCTGACTTTAAGGCACGGGAGGCCCTGGCTTTAACGCACGGGAAGCGCACCATTACCGTGCGCACGCAATACGCATCGAGCGCACCATTGCCGTACACACGCAATCACGCACTTCGTCTCCACCGAGCACAGCATAATTGTTAATTATTTCCCTACTGCCAGTCGTCATACGAGCGAAGTCACCGCAGAACTCTCATCGGACTCTGTTGCACTTGCAAATAGCTAAGTCACAAATAAGTTAATTCCCTTTATAGGTAAACACTTGAATTGCCGCTGAATAACTCACAGTGTACAGAGTGTACTGGGATGCCATGAGGTAAGAATCATTCAAAATCTTTTGACAGCAAATGAAAAGAATGGAGATTACTTCGATCATGTTCGATGGTTTTTGTTTTAAGTTTTAATTCAATCGGCATCCAAAATGCTTTACGCTTGAGGCTTCCGCGGTACTAAAGGTGTAATTTCTTTGAGAATCTTGAAAAATCCCATGAAAACTATTCGCAAAGAGAAGTTACGCCTAGCTTGTTTTGCATTAAGCACTAATTGTAACAGAGATATTGGGTTCACAGTATAGATTTAGAAGTTGCTATAAACGCGATCGCTCTACAGAATATTTATGTGTTCACTGGGAAGCACATCCCGTTGTTTAGAGAACAGGCTGAACAGCCAACAACCTTAAAGCGCAACCAATAAATTAAATCAAGAGTGTTTTTCTCACAACGAACAGAAGCAAGGAGTGGAAGAGAGAGAGAGAGGTAGTTGGATGATGAGGGGGGCGGTAAGAAAACAGTGTAAGGGGAGGAGGGTGGATGACAGTCTGCCTGATATAGTCGCACTTGACTATAAGGGATGCGGCAGACAGCTCGGCGGCGATCGCAAGCGTTCGTCTAAGTAACAGCTGTCGCTTCTGCCGGCTTGGCTGCCGCTCTCCTTGCGACGTTCTAGTAAATTCTACTCATAAACCCCCTCCTCCTCCTCCCCCTCCTTCTCCTCCTCCTCCTCTACTTAGCTTCAACTACCCGTTTCTTTTATTAGATTGGCAGCGCTCGTGTCGGAGCAAGAAGGCAAGGCGACGCAGAATGAATCCCAGAAATGGGGCATTTGGTGTCGTCATTCTCATATCTCCATTCCATCTCTGTGAGTTATTGCTGCGACAAGGCTACTTCGTTTATTGGAGTTGTTTTTTTCTGGTTATTGTTCATTAGGTTATTTACGCTGCTGATGTTGATACTCGAGCAGTTTGTGCGCGGCAGATGCTGCTGTTTCTATGGCGGTCGCGGTTCTTGTTGCTAGGCAACAGAGAACAGGCATACACAACGCGCTTATAACGGCAGTCAATAGATTGCGTCGTCCATTCATTCACTACAGAGTACTGCCTACCAAAATAAATAATGAATGAAGCAACTATGACTGGTACCCAAAGCACACACCCTAATGACAAATATTTTCCGTTGTTGCTCTTTATTGTTTTAAAATGCGTTATTGAAATTCTTTCAAGAATTAAACTTTGAGCTTAATAATGTAGTTAATGTCCCGGATTTATCTGGATTTTGACGTAACAGTGAACCGCCGCAGCAATTGAGACGACGAATCGACGAATCAAAAAAGGCCTGCGACGAATCAAAAAGGGCACATCAAAGGCCTGCTCACTAAATATTGCAAAACAATAATTATCCATGGATAGGGAAAAGGCAATGCATCATTAAGCGTTTGTTGATGTCGAATGAAGTCCAAACAACAGAACCTGAAATTCTGTGTAATGTCTTATGATGATTCAAGTACATTTTACAGCCGCGAAAACGAAGTGAATTAGGCGGCCGCAAAAATTTTATAGCATTCGAATCAATACGTAGCAAATTTCTATCAGCATGAATACTCGTAGTTACAAATTCACGCGAAAGTATATACTTCGCGGTTGCTGGTGAAGAAAATGTTTACATTTATTTCGTCCAATATTAACTTCACAGTCTTCACTCTTATTAAATATTATAGATTAAAGTGCACTCTTTTTAGCGCATTTTCTCATTCATGGAAAAATGCACTATTGTGCTCGCCATGTCCGTCTGTCTGTCTGTCTGTCCGTCCGTGACCTCAAGTTTTCGTCGACGAGAAAATGCGCTCTCTGTCACTCACTGCGCAGTGAGTACTGAGTTATATTTTTATAATATATTTTGGGTTAAAGAAGGTTTAGAATGGCTTATGATGCTCGAAATCCCTCGAAACAAATGACGATAAATATGATATAAATCACATTAGTAAGTGTGACGTGTGATATCGAAAGTGAACGGCTGACCAATGGTCTATTGGTCAGCCTCGATCGTAAAGAGAACTAATTTTCTCACACATCAGTTAACTATTGTTCAATATTTCTCAACGTCAGACATTACCACAGCAATGCCATTCTAAGGTGAGAATAGACATTAAATTAAAGGTCAATTTCCTACCGTTGCACAGAGTAGGCCGCAATTGTAAGGCGGCGATATTAAGCGCCACCTGACTGATTAATTATAGTTTATATCTGAGGACAGGAATTCCTTGACTAATGGAGTGAGGGATAAGTAAGACACCATCTGTCAAGAGTTATCTTGACAGATGGCTATCGTGTATCAACACCGTCAAGAGTTATCTTGATACGGGGTGTTGATACACGAGAGATACAGTACAGGTATATATATATAGTTAAGTCGCCGACCGTTAGGTCGGAGTAACTCAATTGTTACATGGCGACGTGCTAGTTAGTTACTGGGGGCCTTACGAAGGTTCCCAGCCCTTTTATAGAATCACGACTTCCGCCCACTACTGAGGTCTTGATTGGATGATGTGTCACGTGTTGTCCATGCTGGCTCAGGGTCTAGTACTTTTCCATCAATCTCTACCACGTCTAGTGAATAAAACGTCTCAATTGCAGATTATCTAATCTTAGAATATAATTATAATGAATAGAATGAGACGCCTGATTGGCACCGGACAC